CCGACAAATCAAGTAATAGGGATCTGAGCGTGATCTTTTGCAAAATGCCAATCGTAATCATTTTGCTTCATGATTTGGTCACTTGATAACAATCTACCANACCAGTGATAGATGTTCTTCTGCGCAAACTCCCATGATGAGCGGTAGTGGTTTCGCTTCGATAACCGTAGCCTTCCTCTGGGTATCTGAATCTTCTCCACGGCCTCCAACAGCGCACTAACGGGGCGGCATTCGTCGTTCCTTACGAAATACCACCCCCAGACAGGCAGCCTCAGAAGAAGGATGTCAAGGGCGGGAGTATCTGACAGTGGTTGGCTCCGAAGAGGAGTGACCACTTTGTGGCTTGCCTTTTGAGTGCTGGGAAGTGTTCCACTACCTCAATAAGAACGGAAAACGAGATGAACCAAGCAAATGACTTCATCAATTTCATATTTTTCATTTTTTACCGTATTATATGCTGCTATACTTCAATGCTACTGTTCACTTAGGTCTCTATGACATCAACACCATTGAACGTCGTTGCCGGTGGTTCCACTGTGGTCTCTGGTTCTGTACTAAACGTGACTTCATCGGACAGGGAAGACTATGTGGTGAATGTGGTGGAGAAGCCAAACTACGGCTGGATTGTGTTGGACTCATGGAACACAAATAATATCAGTTCAATAGGTAAGAGTACTGAAGGCATTCAATTGGCCATTCAAAGGCTTCTAGGCCATACTACTGCAGGAATTGTTTGATTCGCTCACCACATAGATTGAAGCACGGGGGGAATAAGCCGATTGTAAGAAATCTCTCATCTCTGGAGAAGCGTAGATGGAAGTAGTGCATAAGCGCCGTTGCTGGGAGCGAGAAAGTAAAAGCGATATATCGCGCAGTGAGACAACTAGTAAGTAATCGTCACACGATATCCGCAAATTGGGAATAGTGCCTCACTCCGTTATGAGGAATTGTCGCGGCATAACCAGACGATACATCCATAACCTGAAATCTAGGGTCGTATGCTGTCCTGTTTTTATTTATGTCTATGGTCACATGTTGTACGTAGTAAACAAGTAAATAAAATTGAACGGTATTTCAGAGTCGTTCAGTGGCGCAGATCTGCGTGAGCGTCGTGTGGTGTATGTGTCAGATCGAGACTCGGCTGCTACAAGGGATTCATTCTCAGTCGCCGTCTGCATTTCCCACCACACTTGCACCCAGACGCAAACCGTCGACATCACTATATCGCAGCGAAATGTGCAAAGTATGTGTACGGATTTGTTTAGCACGATTTCATGTGCACGAATATGTTTCGTACACATTTGCGTGCACGAGTTTATTTCATAAAATGTGAGCTGCTCTCAGAAATAATCAGAAACTTGAGAGGACTCTGCTCAGTATTGTAAAATTGGTCGGTAGTGATCGGTATTTTCGATTTATGCCCAACGTCAGGCTCATGCCAAAAACGTCGTGACTCTTTGAACATGTGAGACTTCAGTCAACGCCTTTGAAAGGGTGGAAGGCTCGATATATTGGGAGAAGTCGGAGCCTGCTAAAAGTGTGACGGGATTGGAGTCCAACCGAACTAGTGTCGTACGTGCGGAGGGATATTCTTTAGGGGCTATCGTATCGACTAGGGACAACTTAGCTGGATAGATGTTCCACAAACTTTGACCCTTCAATCTTCACATAGTGGAGGATAAGCCAATTCATGTATCCATGCAGCACTAGTTTGTGAGACTTTCAATGTAGCAAATTATTATCGAATGAAGCCCCTTTACAGGTCCCCAACTTCTACGAAACGAAATTCTGCGTGTCACTTCCGAGAGAACTCCCATCACCAATGCTCACTTGGACACTGAGGTACTGCAAGTTTTTTTTTTCCGATACGAACTTTCGGCTTAGAGAGACAATTTCATCCAATTTCGACATGATTTGCTGTTGAGGGCTTGTGGGGATTGGTAACAGAACATGCTAACCAATATCGCTGCCATGTCATTCACGACCCTCTTTCCATGGAGGAAAAAGAAATAATAAAAATCTGTCCGACAAATCAAGTAATAGGGATCTGAGCGTGATCTTTTGCAAAATGCCAATCGTAATCATTTTGCTTCATGATTTGGTCACTTGATAACAATCTACTACCTTTCAACAAACATCGCCATGACATAGTCTGATGGATGGCAAAAACTCTGCACTTTAATTTTAATTTGCTTTCAAGCTTTCTATGTTATCATTTACTTATGTTCTTGAATATTACTTGTTAGTTTCATTATTTAAACTTTTTTTTGTCGTTCTACTTTATCATTTATCTATGTTATTATTACTAACATTATTATTATTATGTATAAATATATATATATATATCAGTCTTGAACATCTATAACTTCTCCATGACTAGTTGTCAATTTGAACAAGCTTACTTTTCTGAGACTAAAATGGGCTTGTTTAGGATCCCGACACACCTCCAAGTGGAGTGTTTTACTTGATTTCTAAGCCGTCAAATGGTATGGTGGTCAACATCAACGATCTTTCGAAAGAGATTTACAACTTCTCACAGAAGGAAGTCGACGATTCGGCGATTATTTTCCTCCGACAAGCCAGTACGTTCACAAACGAATCTTCCTGTTTTACTTGGATTCCCGATTATCTGATTGAATCTATGAATTCTAAGCTTATACAGAATACGCTAAATAATTAGAAATTATTTGCTTCGGGTCCGGGAACCTCTCCCTTGACACGGC